TTAATAGGAGAGAAACCCTCTTTACTTAACAATGTTCATTTTTCTTAACCTATTGTTTAATAATCCCCTATTTTAGGTTATCTGATTTTTGGAGGGACCTTACAACCTTTTTGTATGTTCCTCTGTTTTGTACTCTTTGGTGCCTTGTGACATACTTTTTTCTTCTTCTCATTAAAAAAGTTAAGTATTATCTTTTGAAGAAAATTTGGCATATGTGTCTTCTTGTCACTTTCTATCCAAAGAAGACAATAATGCATTTTCTTGTCAAATATGGATCCAAAAGCAACCAAAACTACCCAACAGACTATATTCTTATTAGTTTACCTGCGCCACTTTCCACAGATTCCATCACCTTCTACAGCCTCTCTACACTGGAGCCAATTACCTATTGAGCTAAGTTCAGAAGACTTGTCACCATTAAACTCCTACAAAGAAGGATGTGTCACTTTTTCTCCGATATTGAGTCAAATCTAAGCAAAATGGAAAATGCTATGACAAATAATTACACAAAATGAAACCTACATGCAAATTAATACACTCTGATGTACCCATTTCCAGTAGTTCACCAATGGTATTAACATCCCTGCATAAAAGTCAAAATAAAAAGAAAATGTTATGAAAAGATGTCCTACATGGATCAATAATGCACATGAGAAATCAATTATTCAAAGGATGCTTATGACAATATCAGTTACTGAATATACACAGGACAATATCGTCTCCTCAAAATTTTTTTTTAAATATCATCTGAATATTTTTTTTAAAAAAAAAGAATATCATCTGCCCAAAAATGCGTGACATCACCACTTTTTTTCCCTTAAATTCTTCTGATACTACAGAAAACAAGCTTCTAATTCCAAACAAAAGTGGATGACTTGGAGGGAAACCAAACTCTCCCACAAACACCACTGATCAAGGCCATGCTTGAACAAACTCAAGAAAATTTGTCGAATTTGTTTACAAATTACATTTAGTTCGACAAGGAGAGAATAATTTTATCAGAAAATGATAAAAAAAGGCAGCTAGTTAGCAAGTTAAAGTTCCATTGGAACAATATATTTCAAATTTCACTGAAATTTAATAAAATTTGGAACACTGTTTAAATTCTACTTAAATAACTTATAAACTCAAATTTCCTAGTTGAAGATAAATCTTTTACCTTCACCTAATTAAACTAGATTGGATTTCCAAATGAATTCCACAAAACTTCATTTTCTAAACTTAGCCTAAAGCTTTCAATCCTCTCTCCATGATAAGCTATAGTTAGCTTCTGCAAGGTTGCAAAGAAAAAATAGAAAAGGATACGCAAAATAAGGGTTGAAAATAAACCGAGCTAAACCTAGTTTCTTGTGTATCATGGAGCTCGAGTTTAGCTTCAAACTTTTTCAAGAAGAATAAAGATATTATATTAATAGCCTAAAGCTTTCAATCCTCTCTCCATGATAAGCTATAGTTAGCTTCTGCAAGGTTGCTAAGAAAAAATAGAAAAGGATATGCAAAATAAGGGTTGAAAATAAACCGAGCTAAACCTAGTTTCTTGTGTATCATGGAGCTCGAGTTTAGCTTCAAACTTTTTCAAGAAGAATAAAGATATTATATTAACAATGCACAATGAGGTGACCACCCAAGTGCTAAAGAAATAGCTAAAAGTTAGTCAAATATCAATAGTCTCCAAGATCCTCCTTTGAGTGAGAGAGGGAGACCCCTTTAACAAAAATCCAGGACATTGGAGTCAATAATCTCTTATCTTAGAACTTGTCCCCAAAGCTCTTTGGCTCCTTTTCCTACCAAATAACCCATATGTTAGACAAAGGAATGAAAACAATCATCTTTTTTTCGATCTTTACTAATCCTAATAGCCAACTCTAGAACTCAACCTTAATTTGACTTTCATTTCAGACTTGTATCAGTTTGTGTATAAAGACTATATACAACTCTTAAGTCCTTCTGGATTTAAACCAAATAATAGAATGAGCCTCCCCAGTCTCAAGCTTGAATATGCTTGATATCAACTTTAACTTTCAACAAAATAAAATTAAAAACCAAATACACAAATAAACTATTCTTTTTTTTTGTAGAGCCCATTTATAACCTTGATCTGCTTGAAACTTGACCAAATTGACTGAGCCAAACCCAAACAATTTGTTAGTCATATCTGCCTTGCTCAAAATAAGATCGTTCTAAATATACTAAAAAAAGGATTGTGATCTTGAAAAGTTCAACATAATTCCCAAGATTTCATCTCTTCCAATCAACTTAATTTAGGAGACAAAACTAAGATAAAGGCACACGGGACTGAATAAAATCAGTTCAGTTATTACACAGAGAAGAAAGTCAGGGATGAAAAGTAAATATCCAACACAAAAGTTGCTAATTTCTTCACACCTTTACACCTTATGCTCTCTAAAGACCATTCAGTAGAATGCCCAGCACTACGGAAAAACTGTCATGTTTCTTTTCAATAACATAAATGTAGATCTTAAATTATTTTTCTTAATGCAGAAATCCAGACTATAAAGTCAGCACAGAAAGCAAAGGATAAAATTAACAGCCATTCAGATTTATGCATACTAGATTCAGTTAAATCTGTTCTTTGACTTCACAAAGAAATTGGTTTTTAGCAGACCTCTAGAAAACTTTCCTTAAAGTTAATGAACATGCACAAACTGCCTAGATCATTCTTTTAAAAGAAAATATAAAGATAGCAGAAATAACCTCTGATTGAGTGGACCTGACCAATCTGGAACTTCTGCTTGAAAGCCTTTTCCAATTC